TGGGCCGGAATTTGGTGTCCGGGTTCTGCAGCAGCTCACAGCACAGTGGCAGACTCTAAAGAATGATAAAGTTCATATTTAATCTGCACTGCTCATCCAAAAATCAGTTTTTATTTGAAAATGAACTTCGGTATACCCTGTATGTCTTAGAAACATTATGATGCCTCCGGGTAAAACTTCCAATTATATGTTCATAAATTTGTTTTTAACCTGTCAAGCATGCATTGCTGCTCCTGTAACATGCCTATTCTATTCTTAGTGAAATCGCTGGATTTCCAATCACAATAGCATGCTTTATTTCAGCAATGATTTAGCAGAGACAGATCCAGTGCTACAAGGAAAGGTGCCTATCTCCTGCGCCTCTGCCTCTGACTGATGTAACTCTTTTCTCAACATCTATGACAAAGGCATCTCCCTCCTCCCCCACCTGAGTTGCTTAACAAGCTGCTGTGGACAGAACAGTGAACTGCAAGCTGCTGGTGCAGGGACTCGGTCCCACAGTTGTTACTATCTCGAGTTAGTTAGACTTTGAATTCATACCTTAATCACTGGGCCTCCATTTCCTGTTATATAAAATGAGGAGGCTGAAGCAGGTAACAACTACCTTACAAAAATAACGCAAAGTTCTGTTTATTAAGCCTATCCTGTATGCAAACAACAACGACAAACAAACAACTGTGCTTTGTGCTTTACATACATTATCTCACTTAATTTTAATCTTAATTTTAAGTTTAGAAGGTGTATCAATCAAGGTCCAGCGGGGTAATTTGAGGAGTGCTTCATAAAGAAACTATATTAAGAAGGTGTGAGCAGGGTGTTAGGAGCTCACCAGGGGCAGGGCAGTGCCCCAAGGCTGGTAATGGAGAGGGAAGTGGTGGTCTGAACCCAGAGAGCCCTGTGAAGAGGGCTGCTCCAGCTGTGTCTGGGGTGCAGCCAGCCCACAGACCCTGCGATCAATACCCGGAGCTCACTCTCTTCATTCTGGAAAAAGCCAACAGAAAGCAAAGACCAAGGGAGCATTCTGGCACCATCCACACCAGCACCAGCACCATAGGGCAGGATGGAATGAGTGAAGAATGGATCCAGAAGGGCCAACAGAACATACCCAGTAACACTGAGTACAGTTATTCTGATTTTATACATGAGATTACTGGGGTTCAAAGAGGTTAACTGGCTTACTTAAGATCACACAATTAGCACAGAGTAGGACCAGGATTCAGCTCCTTTCTGTCAGAGTCCAGAGCCTGGGCTCCTGACTGCTCCTCAGACCAGAGCACATTTTTGTCCTCCTGGGGTTAGAAACAGCCTCAGGAGTGATCCGATTTAACCTCCCCCCTGAGAGGTGCTTGAAAGAGATGTCTTTCCACTTAGGGTACGAGCCTTTTAGAGACCTCATGCACCTCCGAAAAGCTAGTGTGCTCGCTCTGTATGGTCCTTTCTCTTGTCCCCACACTTTCGGTTTATAACCTGACATATAATTTTGATTTATAACTTTTAGAGAGACACCGGAAGGGACAAAGTTGTGAGACAGTCCCAAGGAGAGAATAGCATTATTTTATTAGTCCAAATTTTAAAAAAAATGTCTTTTTCTGACATGCTCTCTAAATTAAGCACAATTAAAAGGTTTCTTTTTTTAAAAAAAGTAAACGAGTGTGTAGTGTGGAGAATGAAGAAGGGAGTAAGCTGACGATTAGATTGTTCTATTTCATGTGCGAGAATTAGAGCACAGCCCAAAAGGATGCTACAGGTGTTCCGGGAGACTGTGGAAGAAGTGAGCAGACTAGAGATGTTTCCGTGAAGTGAAACTAAACACCAGTATTAAATATATTCTTCAAAATCCCTGTGAGAGCCCTTAAGATAAGAAAAGGAAAGGAAACTCTCACACAGTGAGTAGTCAGATGTAGTTAATTCTTCCTCGAGCAAGAATTAAATTTGCTTAAGAAGGAAGCCTACAGAAATTATCTGAGGTCAAGGCGCCCATCCCCAGTCTGTCTGCTCCTCTGTCAAATAGAGATAAAAAGTCCTACTTGGGACTCTTCGTAACGGAGAGCTCTTCCCCTACACCACGTCCTGACCTACAAACGAGCTGTGATCCCATGAAGTCTGTACCTCAGTGGTCGGGGATGTGAAACAAATCATAGGAACAGACAAGAGGTTGTGGACTGACTGGCAGGGGAGGCAGGGCAGGGGAGAGCGGCAGGGGGAAAAGGTGGGACAACTCTGAGGGAACAACAAGTTAAAAAGAGAAAGAAAGAAATCCTTTACAAGCCAGGCTATTATAAAGTGTAGCTCAGGGCTGGACCAGCCCTCAACGCCCATTTAAATCCAGAACCTAATTCAACTAGACTTGCAAATGTACTTCCTGGTATGAAGCAAGAAGGGAAGTGACAATACTGGGAACTTGGCCCAGCCCCACCACGGGTCAGGTCCTGAGCCCGGCCTGTTCTCCCCGCCTCTCGGAGGTCACAGCTCTAGCACCTTCAGGATCAAGGCTAGAACCGCACGTCCTACCCCGGGCAGCCTGCAGTGGTGACTGCGTCAGCCGTCTCGGTCACTAATTGGACTCGAGGAGGCTGTTGTAGGTGAACAGTGAGTGTTTGGGCCAGATGTGCCTCCCATTGAGTTCAGATTCCCTCCCCTGCCTTTTTTTTTTTTACACCAGAATAGATGTTTTACCCTTTGTTCCGCCTTTTAAGGTAGAATCATTCCATTTTTGTTTTGATTGTTTCACAGACTTCCCAATTTTAGCAGCATGTGTGCCCAGGAGTGAGGAGGTGCTGAGTTAAGAGATGGACATTTCAGTTACTTTTCAAAGGCTATTAACACGGCCTGAGATAATACTCTTGGGAGAAAAAGTTTACTGTGGTGCTAATTTTTAACTACCTGGTTCATCCTAAGAAATCTCAAAAAAAAAAATAAATAAATAAAAAAGACCCTGGTATCCTCTTTTCCAAGAAAAGTGATTTTCCTAAGCAGCTTTTAGATGGCTTTATAGTTAGCAGCTTCCTTGTGTCTCGGTAGGAGTGGGGTTGGGGCGGGGTGAGGGGAAGGCAATCCCAGGGGCCTGTGGAGAACGATGGGATCCCTGTCCTCAGAAAAGTCCTCTGTGTGTAAAAGTCAACTTACACCTCAGGAGAGATTGGAAGGTGATCTTACATTTACGCCCTCCAAAGATAAAGAAGTGGTGAACTCACCACAAATTCACTTCCAAATAGCTTTGACTTAGTAATTTCCCGGACTGGGGAACTGAAAATAGGGGCAAAGTGGCATCTGATAAACCTGTTTTTTAGGATAACTGGGTATTGTGGAGGGGAGGCGGAGGAGAAGGAAGGTGAGAAGGGGAAAGAGGCAGAGGGGGGGGAGGGGAGGGAGAGAGGGACACCGCCAGTGAACTTCATATCCACAGGAGTCCGCCCACTCTGAGCTTCTGTTGTTGCTTTGTTTATGCAAAGTTAGCAGGGCTGAGACAGAGTGAAGGAGCTGTGAGATTCACGCTGAAGAAGGCTAAAATAATTTTTTAAATGTAAATGAAACTCAAGTGCGCGCTGGCGCTCACCCCCCCCACACACACACGCCCCCCGGCTCACGCTCCTCCGGGGCAGGGCCGTCGCTGCCTGCAGCCTTTGAAACAGAAACGCGCCGAGGGGCGGCGGGGGGGCCCCCGCAGCCGCGGGGAGCGTTGTCGGTGACCGAAGGGGCCCTGGTGAATCTCGGTCCGGATCGGTGACGACTCCGAAGTCGCCCCGGCGGTCGCGGGGAGGGAGGTGGGCCGAGGTCTGCGAGCCCGGCGGGAGGGAGCGCTGCTCCCCGGGCGCCGGGCGGGGCCGGGCGGACCCGGGCGGGACCTCGGTCCCGGCCCCCGCGAGCCCCGCCGCGCCGACACCCCGCCCAGAAACGGAGTTTGTCAGCGGTCGTAAAATGGGAATCGATTATTCCAGCCACCATTGATTAGGGGAGAATGCTTACTGCAGCAGCGGGGGAAAGGTTAAGAGGAAATTGACCTTCTCCCGAGGTGACATAAAGTCATTAGGTAAATGAGATATTCACACCGGAGTCTTCAAAGGTCAGGCCCAATTTTTATTTGTCGCCCGAGGAGCGAACCTGCAGCCTCGTTCGGCTCAGGGCGAGGACCCGCAGGACCGGAGCGCTCCCGCCCCTCGGGGTGGCGGCGGGCGACCGTCGGGGGACCCCGCGCCCCGCACCTCCGGCCCGATTCGCGTCGTGTCGGGACGAACCCGCGCCCGGTGTGTCCCCCTGGGCTCCGCGCCGGGCGTCCGCCCGCGTCTGCTCCGTTCCAGCCGCCCGCCAGCCGAGGGGTGTCGGGCAGAGGCGGGCAATTAAAGCCCCTTCCGCGACTGGAGCGGCCACGGTTCACAGTGAAAGTGATTTTTTTTTTTTGAGAGAGAGAGAGAGAGAGAGAGAGAGAGAGAGAGAGAGAGAGAGAGAGAAGGGAAGAGAGGTATTTATGCACATATTTATCCCTCTAATTATAGGAATTAATCCTCTTACGACTAAAAGGTAACGTAGAAGGACGTCCCTTTGATGTGGAGAAGCACCATTTGTGACTCACATCCAGACTGATTAAGGAATAATTGTTGTTAAACGCTCTACACGAGGAGTGTTTAATTGAGGGGCATTTGTAATTTTACGGCTTAGTACAAAATTAAACGTAATTAAAAACTCAGAAGTTCCAACTGATTTTTCCAATTATTTTTATTGTCTGAGCTAATTGTTACACAAGGGTATCACTTCTCCCTAAAGGCATTTAAAAGAAAAAAAAAAAAGGCTGCTATACTTTTTCCAAATATTCGCCAGGAGGATTCAGAACTTTCCCCACGTCCCGGCCAGGTGAGGGGCCGTCCTCACGCGCCCTCCCCGGGTCCCGGCCTCCGACCGCCGCCCCCGCCCCCGCCTCCGGGCCTCGGCTGTAATTAGCGTTCCAGCCACTCTCCCTCCTTTCTCTGAGTTCCTGCAACACCTTGGGTTGTGAAGAAGTGATGGCAGTTCTCTTCTGCAGATCATTACGGCCAAACTGGAAGTATCTGTAGAAGGCTGATGAATTTCTTGAAGTAACACTTGTCACACGCGGTGCAGAGATTTTTTAAAAAAAAAACTAAGTAAACACAGTTCTCTGGGGGCCGATTCCTGGATGCCTCTGCCTCCGAGTGTGCGGCAAGAGGTAGGTAAACACGCAAACACGCGCAGGAGATGTTTCTAGTCCTGCACACAGAGACACACAGATGCACACAAGAAACTTTTTTGCTGCTGTTTTTTTGAAAAGGCAAGGGTGTGTGTGAACAACCTTTCTCCATTGGGTTCTGAATTATCTTTTTATTTTCTGATGCTGGGGTTGTAGGCATAAAGCCAATCGATCGTTGTGTGTGTGTCGCTTCTCTTAATTTCCAAAAAAGATTTATTTAAATACATTAAAAGCTGTATAAAAAGTGCCTCAGTGTTATGGAAATGAAAACACATTTCCATAACACTCACCCAGAAGTGGCCCTGTCTCTCCTATCAGACTTAGAGGGAATCCTGGGGGGAGGGAGGGGAACATAAAATTAGGCAGAATGTGAATTTATAAATTTCAATTAGTCTAGACAGTGTAGAGCAATGGAATGTTTGTGTTTCAAAAAAAATCCCTCTCATTTTTCTGTGATTTTTAGCACAGCGCCCATCCTACAATTTAGGATGCAGTGGATTCAAGCTTTCTACCAGAGCTTCCGCCCAGCTCCCCTAAAATAAACGATCGCCTCTGATCGGATGTGCCAGGTGAAAATGGGTAGAATTAAAACTGTCAATTCTGCTTCCAACGTGTGTCCTTCGATGGAGTTCAAAGCTTTTAAAGGTAAAACCTTTCATTTATGTGTATTATTTCTTTTTCTCCTATCACAGCTTTTAAGGAAAAAGAAAAGGTAATTATATCTCCAAGTTCATTTTCCCTGGAAGACGTCAGTCTTCCAGGTAAGCTGATGATGGCCCTGACGCGTGTGAGAACGTCTGTGCAGCGCAGCCCGGTTTGCGGGAGTGCGGCCAACGAGGTGCAGTGAGGTCCGGTCTTTCTCTTTCTCCACCGCAGTGATGGATTCGCAGCTGAGATGTGGATGCTTAAACCTGAAGCTTTCCGAGTGCTCGGAGAAAAGGCCGGAGTGGGCAGAGTTGAGAAGAAAGGCGGAAGGCTCCCTTTGAAAGTTACAAATGGTGAAAAAGACCTGTAATCCGATGTGGAAAATTGAGAAATAGAGGCGGTGCACACTTTAGCTTAGGCAGAGGTTGCTGAATCCTTTGAAGAAACTGACACGGATTTTCCAGAGATGGGAGGAAAGAGAGAGATGAGGTGAGGGTGGGGGGATGCTGGGGTGGGCATTTTATGTAAATGAGTAAATTTGAAGTGAGGCACAAATCTAGAAGAGTAAAACTGACAGTTCTGACAGTATTGACAGCATAAATATATGTTTGAACACTGCACTTTCAGACACTTAACCGATGAAGCAATAAAAAAAAAATTCGACTACAATATTTCAAATAATCGACATTGATGTTTTGATACATCATTTTTATACTCTGAATCGATCTATCACTCTGGGGCTGGTCAGTTTTAAATAAAAGTGGGCTGCAATTATTTGCACCTTGGCTACTGATGACCCAGCAACAGTTCTCCATTAATTACACCTGTGCTGTGCTTCTTCAGGGTGGTGGTGGGGGTGAGGTGCCAGAGGAACTGAACCAGGGACTGTGTCACCTCCCACCCCCTTCTTTCTTTTCTATTTCTGAGAGAGGGAGGTGGGGGGGAGGATTTCAGAATTAGGGAAGGGTCTTTGGTGATCACGAACATTGAGAGGCTGGAGTCCCCTCACTGCAAGTAGTCGCTGACTGGGTTTGTATCTGGGATATGGTCCTCACTTTTTGCAAGGTAAAAACTAAACTTCAAAATTTGCAGAAGTTACATGAATCTAATTCTCCCCCAGGCCTCATGCTCCATATTCTTTCCTCTGTTTTCAAGAAACCGTTGGAAGCAATGTGCTCAACGGGAGGACCAGAGCGTTCTCTAAGGCTTAGAGGGTGTGTGTGTGTGTGTGTGTGTGTGTGTGTGAGAGAGAGAGAGAGAGAGAGAGAGAATCTAAAACACTCAGTGGGGTTGAATCTCTTCTTTGCCTCATCCCCCCAGGCTGCTCCCCACATACCCTTGAGGGTTTAGGGGCTAGGGTTCTTTTTTAACTGTTGTGTTGTTGTTGTTGTTGTTTTAAGTCACACATAAGAAGACAAATCCCTGCCAGAAAAGAGCGTGGATGCTGGTTGGCGCTGCATCCTCAAGCCTGCGTTCCGGAGTCCCTGACTCTGGACTTTCTCCTCTTTGCCCTGGGGGTTTTCTAGTGAGCTTTCTTCCACTTTTTTTTTTCCAACTTCTCATCAAAGTTGTTGTGTTCGTGTTGGTTGGGGCGGGAAAGGGAGAGGGGATAAAGCTAGTTCATGTTTTGAAAGAAAACGGTATTCTGGACAGGCCCAGGACAAAACCTCGAGCAGTCCATTGTGGGGTGCGGATCCCGCAGGCGGGACCTGAGAGGGGTGGGGAAGGCAGGTGCGCCCACGCCAGTTCTCTCCCGGAGGTCTGGCGCCGTGCGGTGCTGTGCCCACCCCTGTGTAGCCCCGACCCCTCCTCAAACTGGCCCTGAGACTTGGCCTCTGGACCTAAAACTTAGCTGGGCTCCACTAGCTGGGATTCCAGAGTCTGATTTCTTTCCTCCAAACTTCACAAATGCAGTTTTAAGACCCTCCATTCCACCAACAGCGGAGATACGGAAACTGAAGCAACACTTTCATAAACATTAAGATGCTGATCAAAGGCAATAGTTGTCAGTGATTCACTCGGGGCGAAGGTGGGGGCCCCAAAGGGTATCACCCAGTTCCCCGGCTATCAGCCTCTGACCGTGTTGTTCCAAGCCGTTGGCGCTGGAAGTGGGGGTGAAGCTAGGGAAGGAGCAGCAGGAAGAGGGAAGAGGGGACGGGGTAGCCTAAGAAACAGGAGAAAGAGGAGGAGAGGGGGAAAGAGGAAGGAAGGGAGGGAGGAAGAGAGCGCGGGAAGGAGCCAGAGACTTTGAGAGCGAGCGCACGTCGCATTTGGAGCCCCGCCAGATAGCGCTAGAGGGCTATTTATTGAAATACTTGCCTTCTGCAAGATGCTAAAGCAGCTAAAGTGGAAAGAAATAATAAGAGAGAGTAAAAGCAAAAAAAAAAAAAAAACACTGCAATGATTCCACTCAATCTTATTTAAGAAGATAAATTGCGGGGTGCTTTATTCCTATTTATTGGGAATGGAAAATATGTGGTAGAAAGCCTAAGTGGAGAAAGGACCAAAGAACAAACTAACAAAGGCCCCCTTCCCTCTCGAATACAGATTAGGTACAGAGTGAGTAAAGTTAACAGGTAAGGAAGTGGAATTGCTCCTCGTCCAACTTCCTGAGCTGTTGGTTATGCTGGAGGGAAGGTCAAAAACAGTTCACAGGGATGAGCTAGGTCTGGAGGGAAGAGATGTTTTTAAGTACATGGCTGCAAGGGGGTGAGAAAGGAGAGGCAAACACGTTATTGGAAACGCCAAATAAAATATATATCAAAAATTCCAACTGTCATCCAGCAGGTCTGGAGCAGAAGACAGCCCCTCTGCCTTTATCCCTGGGATGCTGGGCTCAGGGCTGCTTCTGCAGGGTGGCAATCGAGCTCCTTGAGTAACAATTTATAAATGCTCTGTAAAACTTGGAGGGGAAAGCTGGGCAATAAAGATTCACTGCACTTGGTACCCAAACGACAGGGAAGCAGATGAATAGAGAAGAGCTACTGACAGAAGTGGAGTCCAAACAGAGAGAAAGGATAAAGTATTTTGGTCCTTTGTAGTTGCTCAGGTCAGTAATGCAAGAAAGAAAACTTTCAAATAACACTCTACTTTAAAGTATGGATTTGGTTTTGTTCTTAAACCCCTGGCATCTCACACACCTAGCTTCTCATTTTAAAATTGCACTTGCCTTTACCTGAAGGAATTTTTTTGAATCAAAGTCATAGTTAATATTTTTCTTCCAAACCACCAACAGAACCTCCACAAATAAAAAAAATAACCTTACAGAGTCCTTAAAAATCTGCTTAATCTAAAATATTTCAATTCAAAACATTAATTGAAGTTACAAATATAATTAAGGTTAGAATGATTTGCTCCTCTAGCAAGGCATCAATTGTTCTAACTGTTGCAAGCAGACAAAATGGCTTTAAATCCAGAGATTTAATACACAAATCAACTAACACTTCAGACCTCACTGTTCTGAGGAATTTGGAGTTATTCGTACTGAGGACCTATGACTCTCCAGGAGGAAAAAAAAAAGGTGAAAAGAGACAGGCACATAGGCTTCTTAAGGAAAATGGACAAATTCATCTAAAAATGGAGGCTAGGTTCATGAAACTCATTTCAGATTAAATACTCTCCATAAAGCCAACGCCTTTTAAAATTAAAATTAAATATAGTGAGATTCAATTATTCTTTTAAAATCTTGACTGTTATCTATAATAGCATTCCATGTTGAGACAAAAAAAAAAGAAAGGAAAAATGGAAAAGAGGTAGTTCTCAAAGGCCTTGGGGAAGCTTCAGTAAGAAAGGTGATTAAAAACAGACTCTAAGATTTGAGAGGCCTGATTCTCCCTCCCGCTCACCCCTAGCCGATCAAGGTCCCCTCCCTTTCACCTCTTTTTAATGCAGTGCTCCCACCCCCACTCCAGAGCTAAGTAGACGGTTTGGGATTCTGAAGAAATAGGTTTCAGCATCCATATTTGTTCTGGGGCACTTGCAAAATGCGATTTGTAGAGGGTCTTTAGCCTTCTGATTGTCTCTGAATTGTTTTTACTGAAACAGATCTTTTGCACTTAATGTGTCCCCACGCAGCTGGACAGCTCCTCTCGGACACTGAGAACTCTAACCCCAAAATGACCCCAATTTGACACCGAAAGATGAAATTTTACCGCCTGTTAAAACCATTTCTAGCCTGGGCAAAAGGAGCTGGCTGTTGACGGAGGTGTGTGCCGCCTCCAGCGACCCCCATCTCACGCCTGTCTCCAGGCCAGCCCCACCTACTTTCCCTTTGCCCCAAATGTTGGCGAGCAGATGAGCATCGCAGCCAGGGCGAGGGTGCGTGGCTGAGAACCGAGCATCACCAACGTGCTACCAGGCTAGGCGTCAGAAAGTGCCTGCACCCGACTACTTTGCAATCGCTTCTATCGGCCTGCAGTGCTGACAGTAGGGGGGAGACCAGGAAGTTCTTACGTGTTTTTCTGCCCTCTATACAAAACATCAGCAAATTGGTGGTTAAAAAGTAATAGTCTTTTGAATGAATCAGGCTGATCAAGAACCGGCATCCCGAATCACCTTCAGCATGATTTTGTGTGTGATCCACCGCACTCTGATGCGATGTGAAACTAACAGTTTCATAAGTGACGTGCATCTAGGTAAGTGAAATCTCTTTAAATTGCCAGAAAGTCGGGTTTCTCCATTTAGGTAATCAGTGAATTTTTAAATGCCACAAATTTCCTCCAGTAGGGTGTTACTTTTAACACTCTCACACTTCTTAACTAACATCTTTGGAGTTAAAGATTGTTTTATATTTCTTTAACGGTATCTCAAAATGTCCTTTTTCTCTCTCCTTCTTACATCAAACCAGGTTTGTGTCTGTTGTTTGCTTTATTGTATTCAATAAAATGGAAGAGAAGTTACAGAATATGAGTGAGAGAGAGGAGAGGGAAAAAGAGGGAGGGAGGGAGAGAGAGTTAGTTCCCAGGTTAAAACGCCTTCTGCATCATCCAAATGATGAAAATAGATTTTAAACTTTTTTCTTTTCTAAAACCCAAGATTACCACAGAGTCATCAACCCATTATTAGATTAACAACTGTTTGAAAATGTAGAAATTATCTATAGGTCTAAATTGTTTTTACTCGGATGCACTGCCCTACAAGAAATAGGTTTTTTTTAAATATATACTTTTGGAGGTTTTTTTTTAATAGACACTGTAGGGATGCTAATTCCACAGCATCACTTTGAAGGGAAAAAAAGCGGTGGTAAAAGAAGCAGAAGGGAAGCGGCGGTTGAATCTTTAAACTCTGCGATGCAGAGGTTCAGTTCGAAGTTACTCTTTACAAAAGAAGCGTTTATCAAGGAAATTGAGTTTCTTTTTTAAAAAACAGAATGATACAACAATAATCCCACTGGCGACAATAAATACGCAAGAATGAAAAAACAATTAAAAGAATAAAAACTGAAAAAAAGTAGTATAAATTTTTCAGCTAGCGGCGCTGCAGGGAAACTTGGATCCAGCAATATCAAAACCTCTCTGCACAGTCGAAAACGATCCTCAGCGAGACCACACTGGCTTTTTTCCGGCTCTCATCCTTCCCGCCCCGGCTAAACTGAATTCGCGTAACTGTCGCTCGAAATAAAATTCTGGAAGGCAACTTTTTTTCTTTTCTTTTGCGTCTTCT